TGTACACATTTTTTTTTTAAGAGGCAGAGTCTCACTGTGTTCCCCAGCCTGGAGTACAATGGTGTAGTCATAACTCACTGTAATCTCAAATTTATGGGCTTAAGCAATCCTCTGACTTCATCCTCCAAATAGCTAAGACTACAGGTACATGCCACCAAGCCCAGCTAATTTTTTAAAATTTTTTGTAGAGACAAAGTCTTGCTCTGTTGCCTAGGCTAGTCTGGAACTCCTGGCCTCAAGCAATCCTCCTACCTTGGGCTCCCGAAATGCTGGGATTACAGGCATGAGCCACTACACCTGGCCAGAATTTATATATTGTTATGTATTTCTTTCTGTGTTATTTGTCTTGGCAGGATTTTTTAGGTGTGGTTCAATAAATCATCTTTACTGAAAGAACTGTAATTTAAAGCTATCTGTTTGATTTTTCCCCCATTTAATTGCAAATTGGGTACTTCCATGATTTTTTAATTATGAAGTACCCATATGAAAGTATGTGTTAAATGTATTAATAACTATGGGGGAAAATACCAAAATTACAAACAAAAAAGTTTAAACCATACAGAGAAGAGTATATAGTGAAAAATTTACATTCTACTCCTCAGAGGCAATTACTATTAACAACTTATTGTGTATGTTTACAAAAATATTTAATGCAGGTGTGAGTATACACAAACATGTTTACATGGACTTATATATCTATGTTCTTTTAAAAAATGATACTTCAATACTTTGCTATACCTTTCTGTCAGTGACTTGCTATACTAGTTCTTCAATAAATAGTAAATTGAATTAAAATATTTATCTGAAATTAACAGCTATCATAATACTTAACATTATAAAGTCAGGAATAAGTCAGTGAAGGCTGGTATCACAACACCAGAAGATTGATTGATAAAAGTTCATCCTATTGGGTGTACATGTTTTTATATACAGGTTGAAGACATCAGAATAGCTAATGAGAAACTAAGATATGCCTGGGAGAAGAGAATTAACCAATACTCTTATCAGTCAGCAGGTGGTCAATTTTTCTGATGCGTTTGGTTCTTAAAATGCTATGTAATTTTCAAAGATTTGAGACTAATTTTTTAACTGTTTTCATCAGCACTAAAATATTAAATAGAAATACTTATAAAATCAATCTGCATATCTTATAGTCACACTGTATATAATGATTTAGTTCTCAGATATGATAAAAGTTATGAAGAGGTTTTACTCATTTGCCAACTATGATGAAAGTACTTAACCATTAGTTTCTGAGTTATAAAGTGAATTATTAAGAAGTTAAGTTACACAACAAGCATCTTGGTATTTGAAGAAATGTTCGTAGTTAAAATACTTCACATTAGAATATGGTAACTTCTTTCTTAATAAAAGAGGTTAATTTTTCCAAACTCTCTTTTATGTTAAAACATTTGGAACACAAAAGGCATTTGCTTGTGCTGGAAAAGAATTATGGCTGAATCTAAAGAAGTGTACTTACCTTGGAGCTATACTATTAGTATAACCTGTTAGTAGTCTTAAGAGCCAAAATACACTTTACTTACAAAATCTGTTACAGGTTAGTCCAGTCAAAGTTAAAATTACTTTCTTCCATAAATAATTTTTTTCTGGCAAGATAGATTTTAATGAATTAAGAGATTTTTTTTTCTTTTATGACATCATACTTATTTATAATTTTAAAAGCTATCAGAGCTTTTTCTTGGAAAATATAAAGTTGTTGGCTTGGAACTTCAAAAATATTTAGAAAATCATTTTGCAATAGCCATAATAATCCCAAATTGACAATTACTGTGTATTTGCTTCCCCAAAGACACTCCCTGTTGTATTAATGTAAATGAGTTTTGAAGATTTTTAGAGAAATAGTAATAGTAAAATGGAAGAATAACATATCATGACCAAAGAAGTTCTAATCTAGGCATGTATATATGATTTAAAATATTAGAATGAGGCCGGGCGCGGTGGCTCACGCCTGTAATCCTAGCTCTTGGGAGGCCAAGGCGGGCGGATTGCTCAAGGTCAGGAGTTCAAAACCAGCCTGAGCAAGAGTGAGACCCCGTCTCTACTATAAATAGAAAGAAATTAATTGGCCAACTGATATATATATAAAAAATTAGCCGGGCATGGTGGCGCATGCCTGTAGTCCCAGCTACTCGGGAGGCTGAGGCAGAAGGATCGCTCGAGCCCAGGAGTTTGAGGTTGCTGTGAGCTAGGCTGACGCCACGGCACTCACTCTAGCCTGGACAACAAACCGAGACTCTGTCTCAAAAAAAAAAAAAAAAAATATTAGAATGAGGACGAGATAGACTTAGTAAACTAGCAGTAGATGGATACCTAACATAATAAAAAATTTGTATAGGTTGTTTATACTCTTTTGCCATTGTAAATAATGCTTCTGTAAACAATCATGTACAAGATTTTGTGTGGACGTATATTTTCATTTCTCTTGGGTGGAAGTAGAATTGCTAGATCCTATCATAACTTTGTAACTTTTTAAGGAATTGTGAAACGGTTTTCCAAAGTGGCTATGCCCTTTTACATCCCAACTAGTTATTTGTGAGAGTTCCAATTTCTTTTTATTAATGTAAGAAATAATTCATCCATAGTAAATCACCCTTTTAAAGTGTACAATTTGATAGTTTTCAGTGCATTTACAAAGTCGTGAACTATCACCACTCTCTAATTCCAGAACATTGTCATCACCCCAAAAGAAACCCTGTACCTACTGGCAATCACTACCCATTCTCCTCTACTGCCAACTAATATTCTACTTTATATTTTTGTGGATTTGCTTATTCTGGGCATATTATGTAAATGGTCATACAATCATACGCTGTGGCTTTTTGTGTCTGGCCTCTTAGCATAATGTTTTCAATCATTTCTGGCCTCTTAGCATAATGTTCTCACCTATGTTGTACCACATATGAGTACTTCCTTTTTTATAGCAAAATAATATTTGTTGTATGGATATCCCACATTTTATTTATTCATCATTTAATGGACATTTGATTGTACTGTGTCACCACTGTGAATAAAGCTGTTAACATTTATTAACAAGTTTTTGTGTGAACATGTTTCCATTTCTCTTGGGCATATACTTAGGAATGGAATTGTTCAACCACATGGTAAATCTATTTTAACTTTTTGAGGAACTGCCAAATTCCAAAGTGGCTGTTCAGTTTTACATTTGAGCCAGCGATGTGTGAGGGTTTCAGTTTCTCCATTTTTCTCTGCAACATGTATCTTTCTGATCATAGCCGTCTGGTGGATTTGAGGTAGTACCTCACTGTGGTTTGATTTTCATTCCTTGAATGAGTATCATTTCCCTTTTGAACATCTTTTCTTATACTCATTGACTGTTTCTATATCTTCTTGGAGAAATGTCTGTTTAAATTTTTTGACATTTTCAAAATGTACTGTCTTTTTTACTGAGTTGTAAGAGTTCTTTATATCCTGTAGATATGTTCCTTATCAAATACTTGATTTGCAAACATTTCTCCCATTCTATATGTTGTGTTTTCAATATCTTGATGCTGACTTTTGAAGTAAAAAATTTTAATTTTGATGAAATCCAGTTGACCAATTCATTTATCATTTGTATTGGTTTTCTATGCTACTGTTAAAAAAATATCGCCAAAAATGTAATAGCTTAAAGCAACACAAATTTATTACATTTATAGTTTGTATTAAGCATCAGTCTTTCATTCTTATTCTTTTTCAAGATTGTTTTGGCTATTCTGAGACTTTGTTTGTTTGTTTGTTTCCATGAGTTTTAAAATCAAGGTCTAAATTTCTGCAAATAAAAAGAAAGACAGGGGGTGCATTGAATCTAAAGATTAATTGTGGAATATTGCTATCCTGACATGGATCTTCTGATCCTTGAGCTTAGGATGTCTTTCCACTTAATTACATCATCTTTCATTTCTTTTAACAATGCTTTGTCATTTTCACTGTAATTTTTGCACTTTTTTGTTAAATTTATTCTTAAGTATTTTTTCTTTTTGATGTTACTGGAAATGAAACTGTTTTCTTAATTTTGGATTGGTCATTGCTAGTGTATAAAACTCTGAATGATTTTTGTGTATTAGTCTTATATTCTACAACTTTGAAAAACTTGCTTAATAGGTCTAGTTGATTTTTAGTGGATTCTTTAGAGTGTCATATAAAATCATATCATCTGTGAATAGAAGTAGTATTGCTTCTTCCTTCCTAATCTGGATGCCTTCAGTTTCATGTTTTTTAATGAGAAATCAGCACTCAAATCATTGTTTCTCTATACGAATGTCTTCTCCATTCTGTTATTAGACTATATAATGAATTTTTAACTTCAGATATTTATTTTTCAGTTTTAGAATTTTTATTAGCATTTTTTATATTCTATAGTTTTCTGTTATGCTATCCATTCCCTTTATTTATTGTGTATGTGTATTCTTTTACTTGACTGAGCATAGTTATAATAGCTATTATAAAATGTTAGCCTGGTGATTTCAACATCTGTATTATCTGGGAGTTGGTCCCAGTCAATTGTGTTTTCTCTTGGAATGGATTACATTTTACTGGTTTTTGTGTATCAAGTACTTTTGGACTGTATGGTGGACAATGTGTGTGTCAGGTTGTAAAGAGTAGATTCTGTTCTGTTTTTTTCAGAATGTTGTTTTATTTTTTCAGTAGGCACTTATCTTATTGAGACTCAGTCTGCAGACTTTCTTGGATGGTAGCTCAAATTTCTGTTTTCTCTTTTTGTGTTTAGCTGGGCTATTTGCAGTGTGCACTATGTGCAATGTTCAGGGGCTGGCTAGAGATTTGGACAGGGAAACTTGATTATTTTCAAGTAGTTTGAGTGGTGTGATCATTTTACCTTGATTTTTTGTTTCAAAAGAAAATCTCTAGATATTAGAATCATAATATTAATTGGAAATGATCATAGCTATTTGAATTTCAGTCCCTTATTTTGACAATTAATAAAACTCTGCTTATTTAATTCTTTTATATTTCTCTTATAGATCGAGCTGGGAGCATCAGTACCCTTGATTCTTTAGACTTTGCAAGATATTCAGATGATGGTAACAGGGAAGCAGATGAGAGAGTAGCAGGTAAGACTGTAAAGACAGATTTAGATTCTTTGACATTCCAGAAATAATAAAATGACTTGAGGAATTCTCTTCTAAAATTTGGCATGTGAATATAATGTATATAGTTATTATACAAAGTTGTGTTACTAATTACTAATTTATTATAGATTTGGGGATACCCCATCTTCTTCTTCTAGTGGTGCTATGAATCTCTGGTTATATACACCTACAGTTTGCTGAGTTATGCTTGTAGCCAGCAGTTTACAAGCAAGCAGTTGTAAAACTGGTGTAAGACAGGCTTAAGTTAGCCATGGTATAATGAGGCTTGGACCTAAGCTTCATTTTTTGATACTCCAAACCAGAAATGAAATTCAGGTATGTATACCAGTACAACCCTATTGATTGTTAAAAATTGGTTCAAATACTTCCATGCTGATTGGTGAATAAACTTTGCCTTGAGTTTCCTGGATGCTCCCCAACCATCACAGCATGTCTCCAGAAACTTCTGCCTTTTCTATGATCTAGAAAATAAAGTGTTAATGTTTGGTATGGCAGGGGCCTCCAGGACCCTAGCCATTTTAGTAAGAAGTACAGTATCCTTTCCGATTGTTTGGTTGTTCACTTCAGTTTCCTTCCCTTTCCATTCCCTAAACCTTTTCCCCCACCAGTCCTGCCTTCTAGGCATCACCATTGGATCTGTAGGGACTTAAAAGTACCAGTCTATACCCTGTGTTCTCCCTATACCAGATAAGCGCAATTGGAATCTGCTGAGGGTCCACCTTGTAATTCACTCTTGTAGCAGCCCTGGGTCCTTAGGTGTAAATATCTGTTGTTTTTCTGGTGTCTCAAGGCTGTGGCTACCTGCCATTGAGGTCATTCTTGAGTGCCTTGCAGGAATTGTAGTTTTCATAAGACTTTGGCTGTGAGGGAGATGGATAAGCAGACAGATATATCAGTTAGGTATTTTGAGCTCCATGAGAATGGTGGGCACATCTGAAATAGGAGGGATGCCACATGGCATAGATGGGACCTGTTAGAGCAATATGGAGTCAGGGAACAGGAATATGGATGCAGGAATGTGGATTCCTCTCTTGAACATCTTTGTTGAATTTTTCTTTCATTTACTGCAACAAGTTTGTTAAAACCTACCAAATGTTTACCCGTCGTGGTCATTATGAATAAAAATGAGTGCTAATTCTTATATAACACTTCCTCCTTTCGAAACACTATTCTAAAAATATACTAACTCATTGAATTATGGAATTATCATCATCTTCCCCTCCCCAGGAAAGTGAGGCACTCAGAGAAATTATATAATACTTTAGTAGCAGAGCTAGGTAGGATTCAAATCCAGATAGCACAGGAACAGAACCCACAATTAACTATACCATATGCTACCTCTTGGCATGAAAATTAGGTTTGATCTAATTAAAAATGACATTCCAATAAATGATTTTCATTCATTGCTCAAGATAGAGATAGTGATTATTTTTAAATCTCAGTATTATATGAATTTTTAAAAAGTCATGTTTTTAATTCAGACACTGAGAGGATCAGCAGTATAACCAATAACAATATCAATTTAATAGGAAAATCACTAAAAATAGTTTAATGTGGCTCCCTATATCAAATCACAGTTTAGTCATGAGCATCATTTATTGACAACCACAACAAAACATCAGATCATATCAGTAATATCTAAAAATTAGCAATTCAAATAGAAATTATTCAAATAATTTTAGGACTAATTTATCCTACTAATTCTATCACTTGTCAAGTAACATTGTTATATATAATTAGAGATTATGTACTTTATGTACATACTAAATATATGGTGTTTTAGTTTAGAGACTAAATATATCTAATTTTGTATACTGTTTTATTGTACAAATTATTGCATATTAGAAAATAACTCCTACCCAGAAATTAGCTACATAATTATGGTTTTTTCTTTAATTTCCATTTGAAAAATTACATTCTTTATTGAATCAAATTGAAGAGGTTCCTAATTCTCATCATTTGGGTGTTTTAGTACTTCTAATTAGGGGAAAACATTGCTGTAAAAGCGAAATGTTTAGCTTAAATTTATGATTATTAATTGTTTGGAACAATCTCTTAATTATTCATGTCAATATAGGTAGAAAAGAAGAAGATAAGAGAAGTTCCTCTGACCAAATATTACTGCATACATAACATTTTTATTCCCTAACTTTTTATTAGAACTCAGAGTAAAATGGTTGATATCTCTATATAGAGGTAGAGATCTCTATAGATCTCTGATCTAAATGCTTTTTGAGACACAATTAACAAAGAGCAGTGGACCTGGATAACCCACAGACTTAACGCAACTAAGAGTGAAATGTATTCAGTATGTGATAGTTTTAACCTTATATTTTTAATCTAAAGAATGTACTGTTTCTAAGTTTGGAGTGATAAAGTAATTTTTAATTACTGTACTGTGCTCATATATAAATAAATACTGTCTTTCCATCTTTACTGGTAAAGGGAGGAGAAAGGAGGAAGAACATATGTTATCCCAAGAGAAAATCTTTCAGTCTTTTACTGCTCTTGTACCATAGCCTGTTATTGAATCAAATATGTGAGTATGTGGATGGAACTTTATTAAAAAGCTTCAATTAATCACAACTTCCATTTCTAAAAAAAATTTGACTCTTTGCTAATCACTGGTAGTAACTTAAAAGCTTATTGAAAGACCAATAATCCAGAAAAGATATGTCATCTGTCATTGAATCACATGTAAGCCTCACTAAGAATGAAGAAGCATTGAAGAAAGAAGGAAAATTTCTTTATTATTTTTCTATACCAGTGTTGGATGGAAGCTGGTTACAGATAACACAGTAATGAGTTCATTGTCCCACCAGGCAAATGAAATTTCTTCTCCAACCCTTAATCAGTTTTTGTTTATGAGACAGATACTGCATTTGTTTTCAGCAACATTTTACCACCTTTCTCCTAAATTTAAAAATCTGATTATTTTTTCAAATCTGTACAAATTTTACTTCAAAAAGGAAGGGATCACTAAATGAACAAATACTTACTGAGCACTTACTCTGTGCTAGGTGCCTTATGTAAAATATTTTATTTAATCTTATTAACAGTCTTACAAAATAGGTCATGAAATCTTTGTTTTATACATTAGAAAACTGAGGTTTACCATGGTTGAGAAATTTTCCCAGTAGCTTCCTTATAGCAAGGGGCAAGATCAGGATGTGTACACATAGAGGTTTTATTCCAAAGTCCACAATATATCTTTTACTACCAGACTATAGCTGTAACCCCTCTGTATATTCCTGTGGATAGCAGAATCTTGTCTTTCCTCTATGAGACTATTTCACGTAGCCATTTTCTTTTTTTTATTATTTTTAATTATTATAAGGACATTATAGTTGTATATCTTTACAGGGTACATGTAATGTTTTGATACAGGCATACAATGTGAATTAATCAAATCAGTAATTGGGGGTATCCATTACCTCATGCATTTACTATTTCTTTGTGTTAGGAACATTCCTTTTCTTCTCTTTTATTAGCTATTTTAAAGTATACCCTAACTTATTGTTGATTATAGTGACTTTGTTGCGCTATCAAATATTGTTCATTCTGTCTATCTAACTATATTTTTGTACCTATTAACCATCCCCACTCTATGCCCCCCTCCTTGCCATTTTCTTTTAAAAGAAGTAAAATTTTAAAAGGTTTTCATTTTCATTATTGTCCATTTCTCAATTTTTATGTAAAGTGTACATTTTCATTTAAAAATGATTAAAATAGTAGCAGATGCCTAATCAAAATGAGCTTAATCTAGGTGATTTTTTTTTAGTAAAGACTTTTTTATATGTTATTGAATAAAACTACTGTTACTTAGTGTATATACAATGTACTTCTTAAATTTTCAAATGTTCTTAAAGGTAACAAGAGGTTATATTTAAGCTAAAAATAAAAGTGATTTTATATTCATTAAATTTGTTTGGGTTTGGGGGTGGAGGTTTTTTGTCTTTAAGTATATTTCATGACAATGTTAGTTTCCTAGGGGAAAAACAAAAGTGGGAGAAAAAAAAACAAAGTCTCATGGTCAGATAAGTTTAGAAAATTGTGGTTTTCTGCAGGATTTTTCAAGGTTTTTAATGTAATAGGTTATTGTAATAATTTATATGTTAAGTCATGAAGGTTTGAACTATAACAATTACAGGGACAAATGGAGATGAATGGTTATTTAGGGAATTATTAAAGGGTTGGAGTCAATATGGCTTGGACATTTAATTGAAGTGAGAGTAAAGGAAGGGATAAAGGAAGAGTACTTTCCAGGTTTCCTTTTTGTCCAGCTGGGTAGGTAGTGGTGCCGTTATTGGAGAGATTTCAGGAGGAGGACCAGATTTGAGAGGAAGATGATGAAATCTATTTAGATAGGATCAAATTCAAAACTTATGAGACATTCAAGTGAGCATGTCCTGGAGATAATTGGGTAGATCTGTGTGTTAAGAAAAGGATCTAAATATTTCTGAGTTTTTAGAGTACTTCTGATAGTTAAAAATCACAGAAGTGAATATCATCCGAGTGGAATAGGAAGAGAAAAGGGCTAGGGATGACACCCTGAGAAACACCAGCATTGAAATGAGTGATAAAGGAACCCAAGCAGGAAGAACAATAGATTTTTTTTCTTTAGAGTCTGTGGGACAGAAGATGCGTTCTTTTCACTAAGATCAAAATAGAAAAAGAAATGTCTACAAACCACAGAAATTGTGTCTTGCTTTGATTCACTTATCATTCTCTAAGTCATACCTAACTAATGTATATTTCTTAAGTCTATAATAGGCAGGGAGAATTCTCTAAACCTAGTGGGGTGGTAATGGTACTATCTTAGGATTTTTGTATTATTTTAGGAATGAGTTTATATTCTAACTCATATTCTTAAGAAAATTGAAAAGAATTTTTCCTTTTCCTAGAACTGTTCTTGGGATACTAAAATAACAATGATGGGAAAGTGCTATTCATATTTCAAATCACCTTATAGTCAGAAAAAAAATAATCCAGGAAACTCTGATTTGAAAGAAGACAAGTTTCTCATCTACTATGAGATGGCAAAATCCTTGACTCAAACCTATTGATTTGAGCTCTTCAATGCTGAACTGGAATGGGAATGAAAAAATAGTAATACTTGACTCAGACCATTGTTACGGGACAGATCTTCCAAAATACAGTAATATTTTGAGTTTCATACTAAAATAAATTAAATCTAGCAAGTACTTCAAGATAATATCAGTGATAAATTGAGTTGACGCAACAAAGCATTGATCTTTTATTTCTACTTTGAAATTTCACACTTTACCTGTAGTGTCTCCATATATTTGTACATCTCCTAAGTCATGAAAGCATGATCTTTAAGCACTTAAGTACCTCTGATCTACTACCAGTATTATCCAACCCATGTTAGGAAATAACTGTTTGAACTAATCTGAAGTCTCTTGTACTAAATTATTTAAAAATATATACACCTACATCTTTGCAGTCATTACTTTAGTTCCAGTAAAATTGCATTCAGCAGATTGAACTAGTAGAGTAAGCAGGTTGATCATTGATTTCTTCAGCATTTTTTATAGTCATACATATCCTCAGATATTTTTAGGAAGAATTATAATATTTGAAAAATACTTGGAAGTTTGGTATAATGTATCTTTTTACAGGTAATTAAATTTGAGTTTTAATCCAATGTTTAAATAAAGAGGAAACAAATTCATATATCTGTAAATATAGCACTGCTGTAAAGAACATTTCTTATAAAACTCACAAAACTGCAATTACTTGATCATACTATGCCATTATAGAGATGTGCTATAGCTTCAAAGATATGCCTTTGTCTTTTAAAGTCTGTATTGTATATTAAGAGAAACATGCAGCAGAGTGAATTCATTTTGATAAGCACTATCTTTTCAAAGCATTGGAAACTTATAATGACATTTGGCAGTATTTATGTAGATGTGCTTAAAAATATAAATTCTTGCCGTCTGACATGGGTTTTTCTGGCTTTCTGTGCCTTAATCATTCAGTGTTTTGTTCTTGGTCACCTAAACTTTCATTAATTGAATTTTGAGTTTTTCCCAGTTTGTGTTTTAACCAGTTTTTTTTTTCCATTTCTTTTTTCATATTTGTATCATTCTGGTATAGGGCATTTCTGATCTGCAATTGTTCTGTAATATGTCTCAGTAAATTTTAAGTGATATTAAAAACATATGTATATTCATTTTACTTAAGATATAGTTCAGTATTTTTAAATCAAAATCAATTACCTAGAGTTTCAAAATTTAAAAAAAGAAAAAAAACGGTATAAACCTATTCTGTACTTACTTTACACATTGAATGTGTATAGTTTTACCTTAAGGAAAGCTTTAATACTAAATGTAGGTATTAGGGAAAATATTTTAACTTTGTTGCACAGAAATATTTGCAGATCAGCATTGCTAACTACCAAAAAACGTATGGTAACATATGATATCATCTGATTTTTAGTTGTGCTTCCTATGTTGCTGCAGTTAAATTCTGTGCATCAAAATAATTGGCTTTCATGTACTAGATGTGATTCAATTACATCTTAAGTTTTTATTAAAAATTTGCAAACTGAGTGAATCTTGATCTTTCCATATATTTTTATAGCTTTGTTGTCTCTGATATCATCTCATTTGACATCATTTTTCTGTTTATTAGTCAACCAAGAAAAATTGCATCTTTAAGATAAAACTTTAAATCCCTAGTTTTTATGCAGAACTATTTAACTATTGTAATTTTTTAAAATCCATTTGTGACAAAGATCACTTAATTTTCCCAGAGCTTTACTTCACAAAAATGTATTTTTTCCAAGTCCAGGCTTTCTTTCTCTTCAGCACAATAGCTATACATTTTAAGAGAAATTCTCAGTTAAAACACATGTAATTAAATCTTGCTTGTTGTGAAACTTTTTTAAGAGCTTCTTAAAATATTTCCTCAGTATTCATATTTATTTTATAATCAGACTATGTGGTAATAAAAGAAATCTTTGAGATTCACTAATACCTCTTAAAATGAATATTATCTATTAGAAAAATTATAGGAAACTTTGAAATTTTACTTAATCTCACATGGTATCCTTAGATAACTATACTTTCAGAAATGTACATAATCATTTGCTTTAGAATTTTATTAATTAGGAATTAAAAGGGATACTATTTCTGTCCTTTGGCATTAAGTGAAAACTAATATAAAACGCTTGGAACTTTTTTTTGGATATGTGTTTAACATATCTATGCTTGTTTTTAGAAAACATATGCTTATTTATTGAAAAATTTATAGGCATCACAACATTTGTTAAATTTTTAAGCCATATTCCTTCAACATGTTAATGAAGGGATCTATTCACTAACTTTTCTATATATTGATTTATAATATTATTCTAGACAGTGCTTTTTAAAATAACTTTATTTTTTAAAATCCTATGGTTTTTGTTTATAAGGATATTTCCTTGGGCTTCATCTGATTTTAACATTTTCCCCTAATACTATCTATGTCACCTGAAAACGTCTCATTACATTTTCTTACCTAGACTAAGTGAAGCAGAAGTACCCAGATTACTAATATTTTTATTTATCTAAATGAGAATATACCATAGATTTTATTTTTAAATAGAGCTATGCCTTGTCAGACAGCTAGAACTTTTGAAAACAGTCCCCTGAATTCTACTAAAACTATGGAAAACATTCACCAGTTTGCTTGCAAATCAACTCTGCTGCATGCGTTCACAAATTTCATAAAGATTGCATGCTTTCTGTTTTTCAATACAAATTGTATTTTTTTTTCATACCCATCCTTGCTTTTTATTTTTTTATTTTGTTTCCCTTTTCTTGGTTGGATGCCTGTGTGTGTTTATTCCAAATCCCTGTCCAGTCCTGGAATTTGAACTACGGAAAGCCAAGGAGACCATTCAGGCCCTCCGAGCCAACCTGACAAAGGCTGCAGGTGGTGTACATAAAACTTTTTTGAGACTTTTTCTACTTTGACAATGCAGAAGTAGCTGAAATATTTTAAAATGTAAAATAATAAAATATTATTTATATTTTCTTCCACCAGAACATGAAGTTCCTTTACAGGAACGAAAAAATTACAAATCAAGTCCTGAAATTCAGGTGGGTGAATAAGAGATCTAAAAGTATCTCCCACAGGAAATGGAGACACAAATATTGAAGGAGGAAAACATGATTTTCCATTTGTCTTTTATTTTGCTTCTAGGAACCAATCAAACCTCTTGAAAAGAGAGCTCTAAACTTCTTAGTCAATGAATTTTTATTGAAGAATAACTACAAGCTTACATCAATAACTTTTTCAGACGAAAATGACGATCAGGTAATATTTTGACTTCTTAGTGCTAATGGATCAGTTTGAATCTTGCACCTTAAAAAAGTAAATGTCAGCAAGTTTATTATGTAGAAATCAGGAGGTCATTATTTTAAGTCAAGATTATTCTGTTGATCCATGAAATCTCCTATGGATCTTTTAGCAAAAATAGAAGTTCTCAGCTGGGTGCAATGGCTCATGCCTGTAATCTTAGCACTCGGGGTGACCAAGATGGGAGGATCGCTTGAGCTCAGGAGCTGGAGACCAGCCTGAGCAACAGTGAGACCCTGTCTCTACAAAGAGAAAACAAAAATAGAAAAATTATTCAGGCACGCTTTTGTGCACCTATCATCCCAACTACTTGGGAGGCTGAGGCAGGAGGATCACTTGAGCCTAGGAGTTTGAGGTTGCAGTGAGCCATGATGATGCCACTGCACTCTAGTTGGGGTGACAGTGTGATTCTGTCTCCAAAAAAAAAACCAAATTCTCTAAAGGAGATAGTTCATTTACTCTCTCATTTACTGTATTTGGCAAAAATTAATTGTAATCAATTTCTAGTTATGTTTTATTATAGTAGCTTCATTGAACATGTACTATGTAAAAGACATTAAAGTCATATTTAGCTAACATAAATATCATTCCATAATATGCTATGGTTATATAGTTTAGGTTAATTGTGTTTTGTAAATTAAAGAGTGAATTGGGAAAGTTTTGAATATGCAAGAAATAGTATTGAGAGACCGAAAAGAACACAAAAAGAAGAAAAGAAGAACAAAGATGAAAACAAATAGCAAGATGATAGATTTAAACCCAGTTATATCAATACTCTAAATGTAAGCAATCAATCCTTCTCAGTTAAAAGATAGAAATTATTAGAGATTTCAACAGTAGTCTTCCAATAATTGAAAGAACAAGGCACAGAAAATCACTTAGGATGTGAGACTAAAATATATATGGAAGGGGAAAGGAACTGATACAGCCAAAACAACTTTAATGAAGAATAACAAAGTTGGAGGACTTAAACTATCTGACTTCAGGTCTTAAAAGATATTGTAGTCCAAACAGTGTGATATTGATATATAGACAAATAAATCAGTGGAACAGAATGGAGTGTCCAGACATAGACTCACACATAGATCATCTGGCAAAATGCAAAGTTAATTCCATACAGAAAGGATAATCTTTTTTTACAAATGGTACTGGAATAATTTGCTATCTATATGCCACAAAAACGAACTTCAAACTATATTTCATGCCATATACGAAGTTAACTCAAAATGGAACATAGATTTAAATGTATATCCTGAAAACCTATAAGGCTTCTGGAGGAAAACAGAAAAAAAAATCTCTGCAACCTTGAAAGATGGGCAGAGAGTGGTTAGATACCAAAAATGTGTTGTTCTCTATCAAATTTTCTCTCATCAAAATTAATAACTTCTGCTCTTTGGAATCCACTCTTAAGTGAATGAAAATACAAGACACAGATTGAGTGAGAATATTCACAAGTAACATATCTGATAAAGGATTTATATCTAGAATGTATAATGAACTCTCTGAACTCAATAATAAAAATCAACCCAATTTTTAAAAAAAATAAACAAAAGTTTTAAATAGGTACTTATGAAAGAAGATACATTGGATGGCAAATAAGCTCATGAAAAAGATTCCCAATGTCTTTATTCATTAGGAAAATGCAAATAAAGTCATATTTAGATATCACAATGAATTTATTAGAATAACTAAGACTGCATGAAATCTTGGGTAGGATATGGAGCAACTGGAAGTCTCATTTCTGGTTCCAAGCACAGGGTAAATATGTAATAAATTTTGGATGGATAATAGAAATATGGACATTTGAATAATATATATAATATTTATTTAATAATTTTTTAAAAGCTAAAAGTCATTTAGTTATTATTATAGGCTAAGCACTGTGTTAAGTCCTTTATATACATTTAATCATAACCCCTTTAAGAGATAAGTATTGCACCTATTTTACAGATGACCAGTTTAAGCCTCAAATTAACTTACAACAGTAATAATTGAGACAGATATGAATTTCATACTATGTCCTGTTGTCTCCAAGCCCCCATTTTTGGTAATCCTATCTGCAGCATATCTGTATCCAATCCTATTGAGATTTAATCCTCAATAATAGTTATGCCATTATTCAAATAAACTATCAAAGGATTAAGGGTATCACATTTAGAACATTCAAATGAATATGCCGTAGTTTCTCAAAGAAGGTCCTGTAAATAAGTTATATCAAATTAGTACTAAATTCTGATATGTTAGAGGAAGATGGAATGGTAAGACAGTGTATTTGCATGTGATTGATTACTCTGAAACTTCATAAAGCTCTTCTAAAAATCTTTGTGTATAGAATGCTTGAGAGGCTATGCCTTTTTGTACTTTGCATAAAACAGTGTTAGACTGAACTAAGAAGAATTTGTTTTACTGCACAACAAATCAAAGAGGAGCTATTTGGATTCTGAAAATTGCCAGAAGCATTTTTAATAATACAATTTAGAATCATGCAACTACAGCAAGAAGACAAGCAGATTAAATTGCTTGCTTACTCACTAGAGATTACACTAAGTATATAGAGGTTGGAATAATAAAGGAAGAACAAAATTAATGCCATTGGTGAGTTTACTTATAACCTATAAATAATATGTACAATTTGTGAACCAAGACTATCTTAATCTAGACATATTTTATGGCTTTATGCCAATATTTGAGCATGTTTTACAAGCTTAAAAGTTAACACAAGCCTTAAAGTTGAGTTTATGTTTTGGAGAGATTTAATAAAAATGATTGTGTAATTCTTGACATCTAAGATAATTAAACCTGTTTAGAATGTCAGGAAACTTACAAGAATAATATCAGACAGTGGAAGATATATTATAAAATAAGTTTAAGAATAGCAATTACTCACTTGAAACATACACTTCGAGATCATGACAAAATTATGATTATGTTGGCTTTTCAAGATATTAGCAATAATACCATTCTTCCCAAAAATGCAAGATAAAATTCACAAAGTTTTTATTTATATATTTTTTTTTCATCTTTTAGGATTTTGAATTATGGGATGATGTAGGATTAAACATTCCAAAACCTCCAGACTTACTGCAACTCTACCGTGATTTTGGAAATCATCAAGTGACTGGAAAAGATCTTGTGGACGTGGCCAGTGGGGTGGAAGAAGATGAATTAGAGGCCCTTACACCAATTTTAGGCAACCTTCCTCCACCCCTTGAAACTCCCCAGCCTGTAGAGGTAAATAATATCAACTAACTAGTCAAGTCCACAAAAAAGTATTTAAATTATGTAAAAACATACTGAGAGATCTTGAGTTTCTGCTTTTCTCTTCTTTTGGTTTTAGAACTCCATGTTAGTACAGAAATTAGAAGATAAAATTAGTTTATTAAATAGTGAAAAATGGTCATTAATGGAGCAAATCAGAAGACTTGAAAGGTTAGTACTTGATCATCATTTCTAAAAATCCTCTTAAAAGTTATGTAAATACATGAAACAGCATTTCACTTGTGAGGTCTAATTTTTTTACCTTTTAATACTGCTGAGAGAAAGTTCTATAATTGCTTTATATATTTAAAATAGTCATGTCTTTTTCCCCTCAAAAATGTTATTAAATCAATGTAGTTATCTTATAATTGATTAGATCTTGGAACTAAGAAATAAGATTATCTTTACTTCGCCCTCATGTTAGTATTGTAGATATTTCTCATTCATTATTTCATTTAATTCTTATAATAATCCTATGGGTTTGATGATATTATTCCCATTTTGAAAATGAATAAAGAAGTTGAGTGCTAATCAAAAGCAGGGTTTATGAGGCCTTTTTTATGCTTGTTGTCAAGAGTTTGTGGCTACACTTTTAGGTATATGAAGCATTAGTGAATATTGTGTAAAAAAGGTTTATCACCTGCTAAACCATTTGCTATTAATATGTTATACTTTTAAAGCATTAAACCCATTATGAGGTTTATGCTATTGCCAAAATTTTCAAAAGTACAGTTGTTCTCTGATAATTTCTCTTTCTTTCTACAGTGAAATGGACTTGCTCAAAAATGAACACTTTGCCATCCCAGAAGTTTGTGATTCTGTTCAACCTTCTTTGGATCAGTCTCTCCACAAAGATTCAGAAGACAGTGGACAAGGTCCAGTTGTAAATAGTTCAGACAAGGGAAAAAGCAAGGATATCCATCTTTCAGCATCAGATGAAACTGACTCCACTATTCCTAAAGAGAATTCCCCAAAATCTTTGCCCAGAAGAGAAAGAGAGGGAATGCCATCTTCTTCTCTATCAAGTAAAAACACAGTTCATTTTGACAAACCCAATAGGTTAGTATGCATCCTATATTTTGAAATGCATCTTTCAGCTATTTAATTCATGTCAGACTGGAAGAGGTTCAGTTCTTTCTTTGAACTTCCTTTGCATATTAGATGTATGAAGTTTTGCATTTGGTGTGAACTTAACACACAGCAAAATACTTATCACAAAAAACATGTCACAAAGTAATTAATTACTAAATTAAATTACATCAAAGAGGAATAAACCAGAGGCTAGTTTCTGTCTTAACTAAGTACTTAAATCTGTAAATAATATGTGTGTTATTATGTGTTATGAACACTTACCTAATACTTTTTCCCATTCATCTATTCTTCAGTCATTATCACTTAAAAGAATGTTTGGTGCTGCATAGTTGCTTATATTAAAGAGGGAATAGTTTTGTTGCTAGTCCTTTTTCCTATGTCTGCTTGTATTATTAATATTGAGTCATTCATTTTTTTAATTTATTTCACTTTTATTGGGTTGCAATGGTTGAACTGCCTTTTATAATGCTTTCTAGTGGAGGAGACAAAATATAATTTTAAAACCTTTAGATTATAATTAAGAAAGGAATATTTACTGAGCTCTTTTTATATATCAGACACAGTTCTTAATGCTTTATGTATACCAATTTATTTAATTCTTATAAATGTCCTATGGTGCATTTTAGCCACAAGCTCATGCTTCATCCTCCTATTAAAGAGAGAGTATACCCAGTATAAGGATATGACAGAAAAGCATGACTGATTTTTTTTTAGACATATTATTATCATGTCATTATTACTGAGAAGTATGGCATTTTTTTTTAAGAAAGGCTTTTTACTCTTGAATCACAATTTTTTGTGCAACCAGAAGGGGTATGTGAGTGTGTATATATTTTTTTTCTATAGGTATTATGGGGGTTACAGAATTGAAATAGACATGGCCCAATCCTCAAAGTATTTGTTCTAACATGGATAAGATATGGTCATAAAAACCTGTATTATGATACTTAAAAATAATTGCATTTATAGTAGTCCTTAGTTGTTAGGAATACTTTTGTGTATCTCCTTTGATACTCCAAAGCTACACTATGGAGATAGATGATTGTTAAATTTGTGCAACTAATTTGTTTAGCTCTTACTCTGTGCCAGGCAGTGTTACAAGGAATATAATGGTAAGCAAGACATACAAGAATCTGTTCAGTCCCAAACCTAGTATGAGAGAGACTGATAATCAAGCAATTACACTATGGTATGAAAAGTAGTAGTATAAGAAAGGTATGGCTTGCTTTGGGAACACATAATCAAGGCACCTAACCTAGCAGGAAAGGTTTTGTGGAAAAACTGTTATCTAATCTCAGACTTGAAGACTACATAAGAGTTAACCAGGCAAAGAAGTAAGAGGAAGAATTTTCTCACTAAGGGAGAACAGTGTGTGCAAAGAGAACACAGTGCTTTGATGGAACTAAGAAGGATTTATTAAGGTTTAAGCAAAGAATGCAAATGAAAGGAAGGACAGGAGATGAAGATGGAGAATTAAGCATAAACTAAGTCATAAAAGCATGTGTTGACTTATGTAGGGGGTTGGAATATGATGGTATCTAAGTATTAGAAAGAGTCCTCTAAGGTAGAGATAATTGGAAGGTAGCAAGACTGGAGGAAAGGAGATGGATAGGGTATATATTGGAAGAATCCAAATAAGAAATGATTGAAACCTGTACTATATTGGAAGATTGGCAGTGGTATGGAAAGAAGTAGATAGATTTACAAGATAATTAGAAGTTAAAATATTGATTGGATTTGAGGTTTAAAAAAAGGGAAGGATCAAAGCTGATTTGAGGTTCCTGGCTTGGGCATGTGAATAGATTATGCCTCCTCCTCTCAGCAAATGTGGGAGGAGCATAAAAGAGCAAAAAAGCTCAAGCTTTGGCACACCACTCTATAATCATAGGAATTCCTGAGTGCCACTCTGTAGTGTTTACTAAATAAGCTTTATTATGTAATTTTGGGGGTTAGCCTTTTTTTTGTAGCCTGAGCACATAAAGTACAACTCATAGTCATAGTTTTATGAATACTAAGTAGAGACCAGTGTTGTTTTAGAAATATGTTGTTTTAACCTCCTTTATTAAACAAAAAGGCTAAAATCTTCAATTACAAAAAAAACATATTTTGAAAATATACCATAAATATTGAATGAGCCTCTCCTTCATTTATCTTTAAATTTTGCTACTTTTATGTGGGTTCATATTAGAATATTAAGGTTTATCATTAGCATTACCTGTGTCTTCAAAATTTAATTCCTCTCAGCAATATATCAAGTCAAACTTTGTATCCACTTTACCTTTGTTTACCTTTCTGGGACCATAGAGAATCAGAGACGAGAAAAGGCCTTATTTCAGATTTTGTGAATACTTTACAATACTTTCATCTACTACTATATCACTTCAGATTTGATCCAATAACATTTAGGGGCCATTCATTCACATAACATCAAGCTACCGCAAGAAGATCACCAGTTACTATTGATATTTTTTTTCTCCTGTATAATTCTCCAGTGAAGTGTTCTTCAAGTCACTGGTGGCTGAGAAATCTAGTTAATGTTTGTGGGCTAGAATTAATGCAGTAATAAGGATTACAATATGCAACTTATTTTCCCCTTAAATGTCAGTGGTAATTCTTTGGTATTGTCTCCTTTTCATCTAATATCTTCTAGGAAATTGTCTCCTGCCTTCCACCAAGCGTTACTCTCTTTTTGTCGAATGTCAGCAGATAGTCGTTTAGGATCAGAGGTAAATCATACCTGATATTCTTACAACTTCTTAAAACAATCTACTGTTTTTCTTCTTAGTGTCTCCTACAGAAGCATCTTTGATAAGACTGTATTTCAGATGCAAAACTATTATTTAAAATAATGCTCTAAGAAATAGCTCTTAAAATTTTAAATTTTTAAGGAAGATAGTTGGCTATTTCTGTTCTTTGGATTAAAGCTTTATTTATTAATATTAAAGTGACCTTTTATAATCTCTATTTTTAACATTATGTCTAATGATAGCATCTCTTGGGTATAATTCAGAAAACCAACTTAAATATATATATACACTGTTTATATATCAGCGATTTTTAGATTACTCCATTATTTTCACTTCATTAGGAGTGGTTGTCTTCAACAGATGAACTTGTTAACTTTTATATTTGTTCTCCTCAACTATTTTGTAACTGTTGTTTTAGACTCCTCTTGAAAGGGTATTTTATTATTTTTTTCTTTTGCCTTTGTTCTCACTCCACCCTTTCTAGCTGTTTTGTTGTTGATTCCACTTGACCTCCCATGGGTATCTGTCCCATGATGGTTTAGATGTACTCTGGAAATCCTCATTTTAAAACTGGATCAGCTTCCTTAGACCACCCCTTGTGTGCAACTTTGTTGCACAAACTCTTACTTTAGGCAATGGTTACTGCTTTGTGGGCATCTTTTGTAGGACAAAAACAAACGTTGAGTATACCCAATCCTAGGCTATTCCTCCTTTTCACCCTTGTTTTTTATTAGTATTTTAAATCCATTTCTGGCCCACAGAAATGTTAATGCGCTTTGGACACTGTTATTGTTATCATATGTTATATTATTAGAATGTCAGTTTAGAGCAGGGGTAGCAGGGTCTAGCCTGAACTATTACATACCATCATCCACAGAAGTTCTCCACTGTTGTTATTTATTAAATCTCTGATTTTCTAGGTGTCTCGGATTGCAGACAGTGAAAAAAGCGTTATGTTAATGCTGGGACGCTGCCTGCCACATATTGTTCCTAATGTGCTATTGGCAAAGAGAGAGGTGAGACACAAAAATATTTTCATCCTAGTAATATCATCATGTTGTCCATTTTTTGTCATTTTGAAGTTTAGTGATATATTTTATTTTGTTAAAGTCTATTACTTGCAATCATATTCTTACTTTTGTGCATGCATCTCTGCTCCTAGAGAATGGTTTTACACCTCTGTCAGGTGAGTTCAGTAAAACTGCATGGTATTCATGTTTTTCTAATTTTGCTTAAAGCATTGTTAGCTTCTGCAGCACTGACTATTACTGTAGGTCCATTTATGTCTTGAACACAATCTGGTTTTTATATTACCAGTTAACTAATTTATCTCTGCCCTTGCTATGATATGCTTGATATGTCTACAGAAATGGACAGTCTTTGTGTTGAAAATTAACAGAGACTAATTATGTAACTGTTCTTAAATGTATTCCTGTAGTTGCCTATTATAAATGTCAGTTTTATTTTGTTTGGCAGTAAGTTACACTTATAGGATAGTCATAATATTGGCTATAATAACTTTTAAAAATACCTTTTTTATTTTCCTTGTAATTAACCTATGATTGACAGATGCTTTGAATATCCAAAATGCAGTTGCAAGTATATTTAGTCCACATAGCATATGTTATGAACCATAAACACTGTAGGAAGCTATCTTTATAGTTATCTTTATAAGTTATTACTAAATGTAGTTACATTTAGCCAATGCAAGACTAACACAAAGTTATCTGTAATATAATTTAAATGACAGTGGATGATTTATTTGCAATTAAGTTATTTATTTTAATTATTCAGTTTATGAGATAAATTTCCAGTTCACAAAATTTTTTTTACAAAGAATAGATTAAGAATATTTTAAAATGTATCATGTAAGTTTCTACTGTCATCCTCTTAATATTTACCACTGATTTTACTCATAATTTGTGGGACCTACAGTATGATAGGTATATAATGCATTGGCAAAACCCATTTAAAGCTTATCCTGACCTTAATTATCCATTTAGCAAAGAAATTTGTACTGATCCTCAAGAAACCATGTAGAACTTTAAAAATGTTTATTCCTAGAGGTATTTTTTATTAAAAAGACTATGTTTGCCTACTGGTGGTTTTATTTTTAAACCAATTATTTAAAAAATAGTTGTAAGATATTAATAAATATAGAAAAGTCTTCTATGTCTTGAAGGATCAGTGTCCAATTTCAGATTGTTTTGCAGTTCTGCCTGGCAGTTATGTGTGAGTCTTTTTCTTTTTTAGTCTGTAACATGATCCATGTAATGCATTAATGTTTGCATCCCTTTTACTGTATTTCCTCAATATGGTCTTTAAAGTGTCACAGAAACCTAATTATTATGAGATGCAGTTTTAGCTTTTTTATTTTAATTATCCGTATTATCATAAAAGACTACCACTAAAATATGATTATACTGCATGAAATATTTGTAAATTTGCATTATCAGTAATCAGATACATTACATATATAGATACATTTACATACACACATGCACATATATATCTAATTTGTGGTATGATGCTTTTTTGGCTGATTTTAAATTTTTATATTTAAAAAATAATATTTCATGAAGAACTGATCATTTATCTTTGTTATTTTAATATTTGTGCATTATTCTATTTATCAGAAAAGTTGCCATTTATCATAAAACAAAGTTGTTTTCCTTAAAATTAAATTGACAAATAATGAAATATATCTTAGTTGGTTTAAAACCAATTCCTGGGCATAAAAGGACAATTTTTTTTTCATTATATCCTTGATATGGAATTATTTTTAAATATTTCACCCCATTCCTTAAATCTATATTTTAAAAAGCTCTTGTGATTGAAGGATTAATATTTTGACTTTTATTTTATTTCTCAAGTTTTATATACATTCTCTTGTCACATAAGCCTTTTTATTGGTATTAATATATTAAAATGTTCCTTGGTAAACTGATTGGTCATAGTAATACTTAGCTGATTAAATAAAAAAGCATTAAAACAGGGTTTAAGATTTGATTAATCATTCAATGCTTAGCATTATATATTCTGGATATTTATACATATATAATTTGCAAATATTTCTTCCATCCCATAGGTTTCCTTTACATTCTTGATAATATCCTTTGATGGACAAATGTTTTTTTATTTTTATCTAATTTATGTTTTTCTTTTGTTGTTTGTGCTTTTCCTGTCAAAATTTAAGAATTTACTGCTAAATCCAATGTCAGGAATATATATTATAAACTAAAGCTATAAAACTATTAGAAGAAAACATGGGTTGTTCTAATATATTTAGGTCATTGATCCATTTTGAGTTAATTTTATATGGAGGAGGAGTAGGGTCCAACTTTACTCTTCTCATATGGCTGTCCATTGCCTAACTCATTTATTCAAGAGAAAATTTCCCCTGTTGAATGGTCTTGCCACTTTTATCAAAACTTAATTGGCCATAGATGTTTGGCTTTATGTCTGGACTCTAAATTTTGTTCCATTGGTCTTGTATAGCTATCCTTATGCCAGTACCACACTGTTTTGAGTACTGTAGTTTGTAATAAGTTTTGAAATTGAGAAGTATGAGTCTTCCAACTTTATTTTCTTTCCATTTTGCAAAACAGATCATTGGAATTTTGGTAAGATTATATCGAATGTGTAGATCATTTAGGAGTATTGCAACTAATATTGTCTTCCAATTCATGGACATGGGATGTCTTTCCATTATTTAGGCCTTTAACTCTTTCAGTCTATTTTGTAGTTTTCAGTGTACAATTCTCTTTATTTTTTGCCGAAATTTTTGCTAGATATTTTATTCTTATGAATGGTATTATAAATGGGATTGTGTCTTTAATTTCCTTTTCAACTTATTTATTCACAGTGTATAGAAACATCATACAAATTTGAGATTTGTACATTGATCTTATACCTTACAATTTATTAGTTCTAGTAGTGTGCTTTATTAGACCTAGTAGTTCTGTGAAGTTCTTATATCTATATAGTATCATGTCATCTATACATAGAAATAGTTTTGCTTCTTCCTTATCAATTTGGTTAGCTTTTGGTTTTTTTCTTCTTGCTTAATTGCTTTGGTTAGGACTTCCAATACAATGTTGAATAGCAGTATTTTGAGAAATCAGATATCCTTGCCTTGTTTCTGATCTTAGGGGAAAGCTTTCAGTCTTTCACCATTAACTGATGTTAGCTATAGGGTTTTTATAAATAAGTGCCTTTTATCATATGAAGGAAGTTTCCCTCTATTCCTAGTTTGCTAAGTGTTCTTACCATGAAAATGCATTAAGTTTTGTCACATGTTTTTTCTGCACCTGTTGATATAATATGATTTTTTTCCCTTCATTCTATTAATGTGGTATACCTGTATTACATTGCCTGATTTTGTGTTGCACCACCCTTGCATTCCTAGAATATATCCCACTTTGTCTTGGTTTGTAATCTCTTCAATGTGCTTTTGGGATCTGTTGATAGTATTTTGTTAAGCTTTTCTGTGTCCATATTCATAAGGCATACTGTTCTATAGTTTTATTGTCTTGTAGTCTTTGTCCAGCTTTTGTATCAGGTTAAGGTTGGCTTCATAGAATGTGTAGGAACTGTTTCCTTCTCTTCCATTTTTTGAATTAGTTTGAGTAGGATTGGTGTTAATTCTTTAAATGTTTTTTTAGAATTCAACAATGAAGCCATCTGGTCTTGGACTTTTCTTTGTTGGGAAATCTTTGATTATTGATTCAGTCTCTTGTTTTATATCTGTTGAGATTTTCTACTTACTGAGTTTTGGTAATTTGTGTGATCTAGGAATTAGTTCATTTCATCTTGCTTATCTGATTTGTTGACAAACAATTATTTATAGTATTCACTTATAATTCCTTTAATTTCTTAAGGTTGGTACTAACATCCCTGCTTTCATTTCTAATTCTAGTTATTTGCATCTTCTCTATCTTTTTTAAGTCAGTCTAACTAAAGGTTTGTCAATTTTGTTCATCTTTTCAAGAACTAACTTTGAATTTGTTAACTCTCTTTATTATTTTTTAGCCTGTATTTCATTTATCTCTAATCTTTATTATTTCCTTTCTTCTGCTGACCTTGGGTTTAGTTTGGTCTTTATGTTGTTCTGTAAGATATAAAGCAAAATTGTTGACTTGAGATCTTTCTTCTTTTTTAATGTATGCATTTACAGCTATAAATTTCCCTCTGAATATTTCTTTAGCTGCATCTCATTAATTTTTTGTATGTTGTGTTTCCATTTTTATTCACCTCGAAGTGTTTTCTAATTTTCATAGTGATTTCTTCTTTGATCCATTGGTTATTTAAGAGTGTGTTGTTTAATAGCTACAAATTTGTGAAATTTCTGTTTTTCCTTGTATTACTGATTTTTAAATTCATTTCATTGTAGTCAGAGAGCAGATACTTTGATTTTGATCTTAGTATATATTTTTTAAATATAAAAAATTTAAAATCAGCCAAAAAAGCATCATACCACAAATTAGATATATATGTGCATGTGTGTATGTAAATGTATCTATATATGTAATGTATCTGATTACTGATAATGCAAATTTACAAATATTTCATGCAGTATAATCATATTTTAGTGGTAGTCTTTTATGATAATACGGATAATTAAAATAAAAAAGCTAAAACTGCATCTCATAATAATTAGGTTTCGGTGACACTTTAAAGATCATATTGAGGAAATACAGTAAAAGGGATGCAAACATTAATGCATTACATGGATCATGTTACAAGCTAAAAAAGAAAAAGAAGCTCAAACACCATTCTGCCAGGCAGAACTGCAAAACAATCTGAAATTGGACACTGATCCTTCAAGACATAGAAGACTTTTCCATACTTATTAATATCTTACAACTATTTTTTAAATAATTGGTTTAAAAATAAAACCACCAGTAGGCAAACATAGTCTTTTTAATAAAAAATCCTCTAGGAATAAACATTTTAAAGTTCTACATGGTTCTTGAGATCTACCAAATATCTCTTCTTTTTT